CAGGATGGTCTCACGAGGCTAAATGTGTATGCCGCTAAGATAAACTTTTACCTTTGAAGGATCTGCCGGCATGACAGCTTCAACCCCAAAGGGGCTCCCCATCACAGGGTTTCCATCATAGGTGACATCCACCTTGTACTGCCCTTCCTCTGGAGGAATGTACTTCACACCGTGAGTGCCTTTGGCTTTATCTGACTCCAGTTTGCATGGGATTGGCCGGCCGGAGGGAGACGTCATCTTAACTCCTACGTTGCCCTGGCCGCCTGCTCCCTTTGTGTTAACGGTGAACTCCTGATCCCTCCCAACCTCCACTTCTGAAAATCAGACAGTCGTAAAATATTTAAATACCACAGATTCATGTAAAGTGTGTGTAAAAAAAACGTAAAAGATGGATGGTACTTACTTGTGTCCAAGCCCTCCACTTTCACTTTTCCAATATCCAATGCTGGTGATACTGTGACTTGAAAGGGACTTTTTGGGATGGGATCTCCTCCATGAGTAACAGCAATAGCCATGTTTCCCTAATTAAAACGATACAAATGAATAGTAACTGGAGGCACAGTTATAAATAGCGGTAACTGTCAAACAGAGGCTCTCTCTACCTGCTGAAGAGCCGTGTACTTGACAGTGTAGGAGTAATCGTGGTTATCGATGATCTCGAAGTCACGAACCGCCTCTCCAGGAGTTGATGTTGTAAAATGAACCTCAGGCTTGGCTTTTCCAGCTCCCTTGGTGTAAATTGTGAAGTGGGTTGGATTGCCCACTTCGACACCTAAAAACATCATTTTTTTTGTTAGTGCTGCCAGAAAGAAACATCAGATTTGGTTTATATCAATGAAGATCACGGCATAGAGTCCCAATAAGACTTTGAAAGATCTCACCTGTCTTGTTGAGTCCAGGACCCTCCGCTCTCACTTTGCCGGCATCATGGGAGGGATCCACTTTGACTTTGAATGGACTGATAGGAATTTCCTGATGAAAGTATCAGATTTGTCAGAAGGAATGTGTATCGATGGATGGATGGATGGATGGATGATAGCTCTTATGCATTCCTACCTGGTCAGCAAACAGCACCATGATGGTGTACCGGCCCGGACCAGGAGGGGTGTATTTGACAGTGAAGGTGTCATTGTCATTCTTGATGATGTCGAAGTCGATGTCAGCCTCTGCAGGTCCAACCACCCCCGGAGCACACTTGATTCCGATGCTAATGTCTCCTGATGGTGCATACCAATGAACCCAGTTCAGAGTTTTCTCAAAAAAATATAAACTAAAGCAGTCACTGCCTTCCCTCAGGCCTTATTTTAGTTACAATTATTCATTTCAGGCAACAATGTAGGGCCTCATGTCAGTTTCACCTGTTCTTCTACTTTGAATTGCTTTTTTTCTTTCTTTTTAGGTTTGAAACTCAAAGTCTGGATAGAGATAATTCAGCCAACCAAAAACCCAAGAGAGTCTTTTAACCACTCACATCACCTCCTCGTGCACGCTCACCTTGGCCAGCTTCGCCGCAGTCGACAGTGAAGTATGTTGGCTCGTTAGCTTTGAGCCCCGTCTTCTCCACTCCAGGCCCATAGACCTTGACTTTGTCAGGATGAGAGCCCTCTCCAACCAGCACCTAATGAATTCACAGTGTACTTAAAGCAGCGTCAGGCCAGCTGAAGTGCAACTGCTCCAATCCTCTCACTTTATCCATATTCGGTGAAGTGTCATAACATTGGAATGATTTAATTTTACATGCCACATCCACGGTTGTGCGTGCATCTTACCCTGAAGGGGCTGTTGGGAACATTGACCTCCCCCCAGGTGATAATGATGGTGTGTTTGATGGGTTTGATGGGAGTGTAGGCACACAGAAACGTGCCATCTCCCCTGTCAGTGATCTTGATGTTGAAGGTACAGCCTTCAGCGTCCTGGGAAGACACAAAATCCTTGCAGAAACTTCTGCTGTGTGCAGCCTCATGCAATATAAATGCCACATCTCCATGAATAAAAGATAACACCTCTGCAAACTTGTGCAACTCCATACCTGTGCGTAGATCTTAAGCTGACCCTTCCCAGCCATGCGGGCGTCAATGGTGAATTCGGTGGGTTTGTTTACAATGACCCCGGTCGGCTGCAGTCCTGGCCCGAAGGCTTTCACCTGCAAATATTTTTTTTTTTTAGAAAATACACCAAATAAATGTTACTAGATTGTGTTTTTTTGATAGGAATGAAAGGGAGTTACCTTCTCTGGGAAAACATCGTTAGCAGCAGGGAGGATGTGGGCCATGAAGGGGCTGTCCTTGATGTCTTCATCATCACAGATGACGTGGACAGCGTAGTCACCTGGCTCAGTGGGCCAGTAGCGCACATCACAAGAGCCGTCGCCCTTATCATCACACTCGATTTTAGCTTGTGATGGACCTTCGATGGAGAAGCCTAGAGAAACACCATTAAAAAGGCTATAAGGAGCCTGACTTTTTTGCCAAGTGCATAATAAAAGGCTGCACACTAACATCTTTCTCATAAACATTAAACTTTAATGTGCTTTGAAATGCACAAAGTCATGCACAAGAAAATAATGTGATTTAAAACCAAATTAATAGAAAGCAATCTAAAAAATTAATGTAATGAATTTTTGGAATAAAAAACTTTTAAAAACATAACACTGCCTCCATCAATTATCAAATGGTATATATTTAGTTTATTTTCTTATACAGCAATAGCAATTTTACCCATCTACTTGTATCATCCCTTCTACTGCAAAGGAGACTGATGCACACAATGCATCTGAAAAACACATTTCCTAAATGTTTTTATTTTTTTGCTGGTTGAGATATGAAGATTAAGAACTAGTTTTCCTGTTAAACATGTTCCTTCAACTAGCCTAAGGATCTATGAATCACAATATCATGGGTTTATAATGCTCTCCTTGGCCATCCTGTCAGATAAGAAAGATTTGCAGATGTCCCAAATACCGAGAACCAAAACTAGCTGCGTATCACTTCAAATTAATGTAGGCAATGAGATCATAAAAAATAAGCAGAGTAAGTATTTTTGCAGTTTCATTGCTAAAATAGCAATTATAGAATACATGTAAATCATGACATAGATATTGATTAGAGAGAACTTTAACGATTCTTCCTTCAAACCCTTTGGACTTTGCAGGTTCGTAATGGCGTCATACGTTTTCCTCTTTCAGATGGACTGAACAGAGCTCTGAGCTGCTTTATGACCTAGCACAGTTTTAAACTTCATTTTTTTCTTCCTCCATAACTATTATGTAGTGTTCCTTGGTCTTGATGTTTTTTTCACTAATGTTCTGAAAAGAAACAGCCTTCACAGAACAGCTGAATTCAAACTCGGACTAAAAGGGGAGGATGAATAGTATTCTATTTGCATTATTGAGGTGTTTTGAAGTGTGAACGCGCTAAAGGATTGTAGCGCTTTTGTAAGACAATTAAAGAACATTCAAAAAGAGGCTAAAAGACTTACCCAGAGTTCCTACTTCAGTGCCGATAGCCTCGACCACAAAATCAGCGGATTTTCCCACCATGCCAGTCTTCAGACCTGGGCCCCAGGCCCTCACCTTCTGAACACCAGCTTCCTCTCCCACCTCCACTTCAAAGGGGCTGTAACAGACACAATAACGTTACCTTGCAGCAGTTTGATTATATTGAACATCAGCACAGCACAGCTATTCGGATCCTACCTGCGTGAGATGGGCTGGCCCCCCCAGGTGATGCTCACTGTGTATTTACCAGGCCTCATGGGGTAATATTCACACTCGTACACTCCATTCCCTGCATCTCTCACTTTGACTTGCTCCTCCACGCCAGCTGTGGATAACCATAGAAGATCGGCACAGTTTGACTCTTCTTTTAGAGCCTTATGAGAAGCAGGCGTGAATAAAACATTCTGCCTCTAAGCTCAAACTACAGAAGACCATAAGAAAGACAAAGAAATTAAAGCGTGATGAAATGAAGAGGAGTCTGTCTGACTCACTTGGTCCTTTGACAGAGACATGCAGAGCACCGGTGCCAGCTCCTTTGGTGAAAACTTTGAAGTCTGCCACCTCCTTCACCCTTACGCCTTTAGGCTGGAGCCCTCTGCCAGTAGCTCTGCATGCATTGGGATTTATCGCTGCAAGAAGAAAGTGGGAGAGAGAAGATTATTTCCAGGAGGAAAAATGGGGACAGCAGTTTGACAGTAGTGTAAGTATCAAAACACGGATCACTGGAGAATCCTTAAAACGCTGACAGACAAGAACCTGAAAATAACACCAATGCTTTTTTTTTTTTTTTTTAACAACACACTAGACCCGAAAACACAATGCTGATGGATAAACTGACACTTTACACTGCAGAAAGGGGAGCATCTGACAACATTTCAGTCAGTCACTCGGAAAATATTGAAGGCAGGCTTTGAAAAGGAGAGCTGAATGATGCAAACTTCAGACATGATGAAAAACAAACATGTCAACAGCACAAGCAGAGTTCCTGAAACCAGGAGGAGCAGAGAAACGTGGAAAAACTCACAGAAATGCAAACTTTGACACTCTATAAGAAGACTATCTGTACAACACTGACTGGTCTCTTTCTGAACAGGAGAGAACCACCAAGCAGGAAGAAGACAGAACAGACGAACCAAGCAAGGCGCTCTTAAGATTTAAGGAAAGCACAGAGTGCAGAGCCTGGCATAGGAGGGATGGCGCTGGGATGGTTTGACAAGCCCCTCCTATCAGGCGTATACTAACTTGGACGCCCAGGTTTAGGGGGAGGAGCCCCCTTCACTCCAGGAGGGGTGCGCACTGACTGAGGAACTATCTGCAGTGGAGCTCCTGCGGGAGGAGCAACTTGTGGAGCTAGAAATGACAAACAGTGTGGGTTATGGGCTGTAAAAGGAAGCCTGTGGGTGTTTAAAAGCCAAAAACAAAGATGACAGCAAATTGTGACAGATAGATGGTGCTGAAACCAGAATCCCAACAAGAAATCTAAATTACATGACAGCTATATGCAATAAAAAACTATGCCTCACCCTCTGCAATGTTGACATTGAAGGGGCTCTTGGGGATCTCCTGGCCTGCAAACAGCACGTGGATGCTGTGAGGCCCCTCCATTATGGGGCGATAGGTGCAACGGAATACGCTGTCGCCCTTATTTTCCAGAATCAGCTCCACGGTGTCTTTTTTGCCCTGGGGATCAACGATGACCACACTGATGTCGCCAGTACCAGCGCCTTGAGTGTGCAGGAAACATGTAGGATTAGCATCATGTAAAGGAAGGCTGATGATTTAAGTGTTTTAAGTGCTCACCAGCTGTGTAGATGTCAAAGTAGGTGGGTTTGTTGGCCACATTGCCTGTAGCATCCAAACCGGGGCCCCTGGCGTGCACTTTATTGGGGTCGCCCATATCTTTCTCCACATTGACAGAGTAGGGGCTCTTCTTGATGTCCTGACCTGCAAACAACACCTTCACCTAAAGTGAAGGAACAGCGAATCAAGACATGTCTGGAATCTAGTGGCTTATATGAGACACTGAGAGGAAAATATTCCTGTCCAATCTAGTGTCTGTTTCCCTTCAATGAAAAAAAAAACACAAATTCCTGCGGCTAGAATTAGAGATTATTAATAATTGGTCTCCTTAAGGACAAATTATGTGTAAAAGACCAGGAAATCACTTTTTAAAGTGCCTCACTGATGCGTTGAGGTGTTTTATTAAATTAAATTCCCAAAGAATTATATTATAAGTAGGACAAAAACATATCATGACGCATATTGGTGTATATTTCTTACCTGATTGTATTAGTTTTATATTAAGTGATATTTTCATTTTCACTGCAGAGCATTTTTCTTTCATAAAGAGTAATACTTTAAAAAATATTTACATCACTATTTCCACTGTGCAAATTACTCTTTCTAATGTTATATTCTCAATAATGATTATTACCAGAATATTGTTATTCTAAAGATGAGATAATGCTGCTTTTTTGGGTTTGAATATCCAAAACAAATATTGTGAACATATTAGATCAGGTGTAGAATCCGAGTTAATTAAGAGACGCTGAGTTTGTTCTTGCCTTGTGGACACCCTCCACTTTTGGAAGATAGGTGACTGTGTAGGTTCCATATTTATCCTTGTTGGGCTTAACTTTAGCCTGGAGAGTAAAAAGCCAAAGACGAGCAGAATTAAACCAGAAGAAAAGATGCTACAGTACAATTTGCAAAAGTTTTCCGAGTCCAGAGAACCAAAGTTAAGATTAACGACTTGCCTCCTCTTTGTGTCCTTCAGGATCCTCAACAAACACCAAGACCTCTCCACTGCCAGCCTCCAGTGTTTCCACTGTGAACACAGCGGGTTGCAGAACTTTGTTGCCATGAGGCTCAATACCTGTAAAGGAGGATCACTGAGGTTTTAGCTAATATATTTCTATATAAAGATACTCTTTCTAATAACAATGATTTTGCATCTGCAGAATGAAATGGGCAAAACATTTTCTGTAAAGCTCGAACAAAATATTCGGTTTCCAGGAAAATTGTGGAAAATAGTTTGCAATAGTTCATTATGTCTTCAAATTACTTTATTATAATTTTTTTTTTACTGACAGATAATCATGAAGTCGTTATTCTGTAGTGGAAGGTCAACGGCACAAATGCAATTTAATCTGAGCATAAAAACAACTTTTGTGTATACATGCAAAAGGTTAAATATGGTAGGGAACAACACACATAGCAAAGCACAGAGGTGGCAGAATAATCCTGTGGAACCAGGAAGTTGGTCTGAGTAAACGGATGGAGGCTGTAGAAGACTTGCAACTGGGGAGATTTAATCAGGATTATAATCATAAAAATTAAAATGAAGATTTGTACCAAGATTAAAAAATGCATGTACAGCCATGTTTTCCATCATATTAAAATATTTTGCAAAGAATAAAAGGTTGATTTTTCAATTTGTAGATGTACAAAGCTGGTAGAGGCATGCACCTAAAGACCTGCAGCTGTAAAGGCAAAAAAAGTAGTAGTAGTAATAATAAGGGCGGTAAATACAAATGATGCTACACCTTTTAAGTTTTTGCTGTTTATTAACAATGCATTTGTTTGTCTTGAAGTAATGTTTCAATATATTGTATCAAAATTTAAGGAATCTGAAAACTTTAGGAAGGTAATGCGTAAATCAGAAAAACAAGGCCTCTCCTATGTTTAAATTACTTTAAAAAGTTCCAAACATGTCTTCTTTTTTAGATATTGAGTTGGTTTTAAAGTCTAGGCTGCATACCTGGTCCGTAGGCTTTGACCTTGTCTGGGAAAAGCTGTTTGTTTCTAAGAGGAGCGCCTGGTTTCAGTTTGGCCTTAGGAAACTGAGACAGGTATGTCATCACCGAGTGCTCGTCCACATCTGGGTCCACGATTTCCTCAGGAGCGATCACCTGTAACAAGAAATGTACCGTACAATTGTCCAAAATTCCTCGGATAATTCTGTAGGGAAACAGGCTTTGCTTTTTCTTAATGAAAACCGATTCTTAAATTAGCAGTGTGTCACTTTTAACAATGGGGTGGATTACTCTTTTCTCCATAATAGAATTGGATTTAAGGATTAAACATATTTATTTTCTCCACCTCTGACTTCTCTCTCTCTTAAAGCGTTTGTTTGCCCGTGTATCACACAGAGGCACAAAGCCACGCTTCCCTATGGTTATATTTAAACTCTGGACAACAGGGTTAAGCCACCATGGGGGGATTTTATCCTGAGCCAGACCTCTCCCCACATCTACTTAACAAAACACCACACTGGATTCCAGCCTCCTCCCACATCAAGGCCTGCAGAGCTGTGACATTACACCCCTAGCTATCTGACAAATGCAAATACTTGTTGAGAATAGATAACGACGTCTCTTAGATAAACAAGTAAACAACCCGCATGGCGCACATTTTCATTCTGGGGAATGCTTACTAATGTACATTTTTTTAGGTGCTGGCATGGAGCGTGTTGAGAAAACTCACAACGAATTCATATTTTTTAAACAAATAAAGCCTCATCGCCTAATGAGAGGTATGAAAAAGAAAAAAAGAAGTGGAAGAAAAGATAAGCAGGGTGATAAATATTTAATTTTCTCCTCCAATATAATATCCTGGGAATAAACCAGCCTCCAGTATAAATCTGTCTTTAATTTACGCCTTTCTCTAATTAAATGCTCTCTAACTGTGTTTGTATTTGTAAATATTCACTGCTTTGGGTTGATTTGGGATTTCATTCTTTTCTTTAATAGAATAAACAAACATCCCTTGTTCGTACTTGTTGCTCTTCGTTGACCAAGACGAGCGTCTGAGGCTGATCTTACCTGAGGCACGCCCAGCCAATCATCGGCCTGCTGCATGGCTTCCCTTGCATTGTCCACGGGCTTATTTGGGTCCCACTCTGCCCAGTCGGGACACAGACCTATGAAGGACGCAAAAAGGCTAATTAGGAAAAGTGTGGCCTGGTCTAACGTGTGCAGGGCTAGACAGCAGCCGCTATAAAAAGACCACTTAGGCTGTCGGTGCTATCTCTGCCTGACCTTACCCACGCTGCTCAGCTTCACCCGATTCTGTATGTGTGACAGCGGATGTCTCTATCGAGCATTCACAAGGGGCAGCTTCGACAGACACAGCAGTGCTCTGGCTGTGGCTGAGCCTCGCATGCTCTGGGCTGCTAATGCCTAAATTGGATTAGTGCTGGCAATGGAGTGGTCACTCACTCAAAGAACCCATGGAGACACACCACAGAATGCTATGATCTAATCAGTATTGACGCTGAACCACTGAACACGGATTTTCTTTTGGAAAAAAGAGTGTGTTTTGTATAAGTACACAAAACGGCAAAAAGCACTTCGTCTTGTAGAAAGAGAATTCCTGGACTGACGGATGGTTTTGTCGTCGCCTGGCTGCTGAAGCTAAAGTTCAGTCAAAGTTTCTGTGTTTTTAAAAGGGTTCCATATATTTTCATGACAGGATGGATGGATTGCTCCAACCCTTTAGAAAGCAGTATGGAGGATAAAGTCCCTGCTCATATGCAGGGGATGATTTACCATTAGGCAGTACTAGGCAGTTGCTGAAGCTCCTGGGGGCCCCATAAAACTCTGTTTATGTGTATGGTTAATACAGCTATTCCTTATTTGTGCACGTTAATAATTTTTTTGTTAAAATGCCATCAAAATGCTTATAAAAATAAATGTGTCTCAGACCCTTCAATGTCCACCATATTGGATCAGACCATTTGCTGCACATGTTCAGGAAGGTCAAAACAGACGGCAACAAACCATTTAAAAACAAATGATGCGAAGAGTAGAATTGCAAACTTAGCATTGTTGTTGCCATATTTAATGACTTTTCAGACCCCTCTAGCATTTTTATTTTAAAAAAAAGAGCCTAGCGCCTTTTTTCTGCTGCTGGAGACGTTGGCCACAACATTTAAAGGCACTGAACTCTGCTCTCCAGAGCGAGTAGATTGGTAACCCCGCCTCCTGCTCTCTTTTATCTTGTCTGCTGTCATGATTCATGCATCTTTTATTTCATCCAAATGAAAAATGGAGAACAGATAAGCAGATCATGGCTTGTCTACAGTGAAAAGAAGGACTGGGTTATTTACTTTTGTCGTCAACTTTTTGGAAACACAGGAAGGAACAATCAGCTAAGTGAGCTTAGTGCTTGGAAAAAGTCACTCCTTTTGAGACCGCATGAAAAGTAAGCTGAGTACAAAACATAGAGAGAAAAACATCAAGAAAAGGGACAAAACGTCGAACAAATACTGTATGTCCATTCTATTAAAATTTCTGTATCTGTGCAATGGGTGTTTTATGTTTTGTCTTCTCAATTCAGAGGACCCCCCCTGCCTGTCTTTGCCTAAGGCCCCAAATTTCCTAAATCCACCCCTGCTGATATGATATTCATACTCATCAGTTCCTGGGAAGTTTTTGTTCCCTATTTGCTCCAGGAACCCTGTACAAAACACAGCTGCCTTCCAATCTCATCTCATCTGCTGTTTAGGAACAGAGGATGAGACAAAAAGACCTTGTATGGTCACTGTAGCAGCACAGTGTTTAAAAGATGCGTCTCCTCAGATCAATGGCTCATATAAACACAGTTAAACACGGTGTTCCACACTTGTTACTCCCCCACTTTCCCTCTCAGCGAGGCAGACCTGATGGAGGACTTACTCTTTAACATTCATTGTTGGAAGCAAAAGCTTCGACTGGCTGTGGATCAACTCCGCGTCCTTGTGGTCATTGGATCTGAGGCTTAGGCAACTCCCTATGATAGATTACCCTGCATTTTGTTGCAGGCAAGCACCCCCCTCCCTTTCTTCTCAATGGAAGATGAGGAAGGGTGTCCAAATTTGGGGGTGTAGTTTAGCTTTAAGGCTTTAAACCTGAAAGCCAGGCTTGAGCCTCCTGTGCTTGTAACTTTGGAAGTGAAACGGTTCAATTACTATGAAGCAGCTGTTAGGAACCTTCTCAGACACATTTAGACGCTTTATATTTAAATGTTTATCAGTGGCTACCTGTTTTCAAAGTGACCTGATTGATCCCAAAGTCGAGTTTAAAGACAAAAGGAAACTGCACTGCAATAGTCTGACTCGGCATTTCCAGCAGCTTCAATTGTCGAGCTTCTTACCCGGGGCGCAGTTGTCCACCAGGGCTCCAAGGGCTTTCCCGTCTCGCCAATCTCGGTTGAAGTTGTTGATGGGCAGCTGGGGAACCTTGTTTTGAATCCAGCCCAACAGGCGCTGCTTGGGGGTCAGCTTCTTGGTCTCCTCATCATCTTCGTCGTCCCACATGGGCATTGAGATGGAGTAGTGCAGGATGAGCGTCCATATGAGACCCAGGATCAGCTTTAGATTCCCATCAACAATCGCTTTACTGTCTGTAATCGGACAATAGAGACAACACAGTTCATCAAGGGTTTAAACCTTACTACATTCTGGATAACAAAATATTTTTTTATGTGTTTAATGCAGACTTCTTCTAATTGTATTTGGTTTTAATCAAAATGCTTCCTTCTTGCACTTCTTCAGAGATGGTCGGGCTATTTTAAGAAGAAAAAAAATGATGACTGGCTGCTGAGGAGTAAAGAATGTAACACTCCTCCCTAACCTCTTTCCTCCAAGACAGCTGTCTGGCTGAAGACCCTCTGACAGTTTGTCATGCAGTCACAATGGTCCGCTCTGAACCCAGTGACAGCTGAGGATGTGTGGAGAAACAGATCCCCTCTCTGCATAAATGCCACTTGGATTTCAATTACCTCCCTAAAGTTGCTGCGCCAGACAGTGATAAATGAAATAGGTACAGATTAGAGCCCTATCACAGTGTGCAGACAGCTCATTTCTGGAAGTTCTCAGGGGGGATAAAGTTTGTCCAACAAGCTGGTTAAGATTCACTCCGATTCTAAAATTCACCTATTAAAGTCAAACATGTAGAACCTCTAAAGCGTTTCCTTTTAACCGATTAATGCTGTTTATTATCAGAGGATGGTTTTGGCTTTTGCTGCCTTACTTTTCTGAGAGCGGCACTCAGTATCAGAGGGGGATGTTTGATGTGTCTCTGCTTGAGTGGCAGAGGCAGGTGGCACATGGGCTGTCCGGCTTTAAGGGCGGCCGAGCGGTCAAAGAGCCATCCATCAAACCATATCTGGTTACACACTATGACACGTGTGCAAATGGTGATTCTCTCGGCGTCCCCGCTGTTGTATTTTCAGGAGCCAGGAAGTAAAAAGCTGGCTCTTTGATTATCACACCCGTTTACCGTCAAAGCAATCTGACCTCGGGCGAGCCAGGTTATACAGCAGGGATGTCTGCGCCAAGCAGCATAATAACTATGAGACTCATTAGTCATGATGTGCCGCCTATAAGGTATAACCTGTGATTGTGACCTATGCTCTCCTGTGATGAGCAGTGGCACTTTAGTTCGGACTTGGCCGTTTACAGTTCGCCCTGAATGTCAGGCTTAGGAAAACACACTCCTTCACAGTACGGCGGCCAAAACCTCAACCCTGCCAGGAATTTCACTGAAACGTGGCAGCATCATTAGACGCTAAAACAGAAAAATACTCTGTCAAAATCTAATCAGTGCTTTCTTAATTTAAATAATGCCGCTATTCATCAGGCTTTTACAGACAAAAATGCTACTGCTTCTTTTTTTCTAAAGGACTATCAAATAAAAAGTAAAAAAAATGGTTGCTCTAATACTCTGATATAGGTAAAAACTTAATTGCACTTCTATTCAGATTTTTGCATAAAAGCAAACCAGGCTAATATTTATCTATTTCTAAATAAACACAAAAGGGTGTCTTAAAGATCCTGCAATGGGATAATTGATTAATAAATCAATTCTAGAGGAGGTTCTTAGCATTAATGCACCTGTTACCTCACTTAATTTCAAAATATCCCATTCTTTTTTTTTCTAATTTGAAATGTAAATCACCTTATCGATGAAAAACTGGCTAATTGATTGCTGTGTAACTCATTCTGCTCACCCAAAGCCAAGTGAAGCTGTTGTGATTTTATTAATAGGCTAAATGCTACGAATCCATGACATTAGATACCTGTATGACTGCCTGATCTGTGAATTGCACAACACTTAATCTACAGGCACAGGTGTTGCTGATGGCTTAGAGCAGCCAAAATGAGACCCTCTGTGTTTGGAAATGTGTGGATTAAACCATCTGCATAAAACTCTGTCCTTCCCATTGGCACTGCCTTAGTACGTTTCAATCCCATAGCTCAGCACTAGGCAGCAGTAGTTAGTTTAAGGCTTGCAGAGCGGCCACCCTGCAAGGGGCATAATCCAACTCGGTGACCTTGGTGACACTTTCTGCAACAACTTTCCAATAAGGTGCTGCTGACCTCAACATAACACAGAGAGTTCTGGAAGACATGTGACTGCTATCTGACAACTGGACTGATAAAACATCTATATATATATATATATATA